TCAGCAGGCATATGGGGACGGGGTGGGAAGAGAAGCAGAAAAAGCCACCTCTACCAGCTGTGCCCTGAGAAATTTCCTCACCAGGGAAATTCTGAGCTTGGCAGATCCCGTAGTTCTTAGCTCCTCTAAACTACTCAGTTATAGCTTAGAAGAGCCAAATGCTGTCCTACTTCAAATGCTCTCTGCCTTTTATAAACCTTACGGTTTGTCACAGTGTGAAATTATTGGAATCTTTACACTTCAGATGTTTCTAATTCAGAGAAGATTCGAGAAGAAAGTCAGGTTTCCCTGCTCGCTTTGGAAAAGCTGCTTTCCTTTCCAGCCCCACTTGGGTCTACGAGAAGAAACTGGGGAAAACATAGTCCATTTAATTAGCAGAGAAGCTGTCCTCAACTGAACTATACACAAAACCCAGTATTTGTTTGATTGTATTAAAGATGACAAAAGTAATGGCCACTTTTGGTCTCATTAGAAGCAATTGGTTTCTTAGGTCAGCAAGCAACTCCTAAAATATATTGCTATTAAACTGTTTGCATATGTGTTTAAATTCCAGTACGTTAAGCCAGACTTCACCCCTAGCTGTAAAATCCTTGTACTGTAAAACTCCCAGAACCTTAGTAATAGTTAGATGTCTTGTAAAATTGCTTGTTTGGTAATATTACAGGGAGCTGACAGTCATTGATCATTTATAACATTTTTACATTACTCATCAATTACCAACACTGCCTATTATGCTTTATAAATAAAAACAGCAATTCAGGGAGAATGACGCAATCATCTCCCTTCTCCATTTGTTGTAGTCCAGGAATTCAAGTAGTTATCAAAGTGATCTAGCTTCCCAAGAGTAAGATAAGCACATGCTTGTCCGGCAAGAAACTCAAGTTATGTGGTTAACACCATGTTTAAAATGAAAATTTGCCCTTCTAAAAACGCTACATGCAGAGTAAGGCTTTCATGCTTTGCCTTGCACAGGATGAACTGTAGATTAGTAACCTTGCCGAACATCCGTATGTTTTCTTTTTCAGTCATGGGGGAAAAAAAAAAAGCCAAGTTCACCTGACCTAATAGTCTGCATTTCTGGTGTGAGAGGGGAAGGGCTGTAAAAAAAGCAAAACTGTTCCAAATTTACCAGAAATTGTATCTCCTGTCACTTTTCATTTCATGATTGTTTCATTCTTTTACTGTGCTTTTGCCCCAAATATCACATCATTTTTAGTACATACTTAATATTTCTCTCTAGAGGCACAGAGAAAGCTTTTCTTCTTCTTACATCCCTCACCAAGCAAACATTCTTAAGACAGAGGACTTTATCAACAAACTTTTTCAGGTAGTTTTTAGGTGCTTCAGAACTACTCTTTATTATTGCTCTTTATGGACCACTCCAGGCTTGGTATTTCACTTGAGGCAGACACAGCGCGCGTGATGGAGACACACAGGATTCAGGACAGGAATTATGAAACTACTTTATCATTTCATATACTTCAGTACTAGGGCCTGCACTCCAGGTTTACATGCCTGATGAACTAATATTTTTTGGCATACAGAATGATAGACCTTACTACTCTTTAGAAGTTGATGTTGGGCTTTTACATTATTAGCTAGTAATATTAAAATTGCATACAGTGAGATAAACCATTTCTCTGTTCCTGATAACAACAGTGTTTCATTATTATGTTCAAAAGTATACTTAGGTATTTAATGTACTGGAATTCATTTAAAGTTACATTTGCGTGGGAGATTCCACTG